AGTTTCTCATGTTCCTTCTACCTCTGTTTGTGCTGCTCAGGTGTCAGCATCGTCGTTGCTCAGGTTGGGCAGCGAGCACGTGAGCTGCAGAGCTGTTCTTTCCCACCCGTTTGATTTCACTCTGAGGCAGCTGGAGGTCCATTCCCTGTCAGAAAGAAGAGGCAAGAAGTACAACCAGCAGGTGAGATCATGAGAAAGGGCACAAAATACAAACATGTGGTACTGCATTTGCTGCTTGCAGTGTAGCTTTCATCCCAAGCAACTGTAGAATTGGGTACCATCTGAAAAATGTGTGTGAAAAAGTCCAACACACCAGGCCTGTTTCCTTTTTAAGCATATACATGTGCTTTTCTCAAGCATAACTCTGTACAGCTCCTGTTAGCTGATGACATCTGCCTTGCAGCTTTAGCACTGCCCCACCTTGGGAGGTAAGAAGCAAGAAATGCACAGGTATCTGCCAAGCAATTAATGAAAGTGCTGCCCACAGAGAGAAGAATAAAATCCTGTTCTACAAAATATGCTAGAAATTCTTTGATATAATTCTTATTTATAGAGCCAAACTAAATTTTAGGGTTTTTTTTAGAAATTTGTAACACAAATGGGAAAATACTATGTGAAGCCAGAAAGACTTTAAAATACAATTGTCAGGTGCGCTTGCAAAGCGTGCATGGGGAAAAAAACTACATAAATAAATCTTAAGTGTCAGAGAATGTTTTCTGACTGAAAATTGTATATGCAGTGCAACATTTGCATTGCTGCAACAAGACGCTTGCACTTTAATCCAATAAGTGAGGGTGAAAACTTCCTGCCCAAGGATAAGCTCGCAAAATGCAGTGTTCTCCTTGCTCATCCGCAGTCTCTGGTTCCCGTAGTGGTGCCTCTCAGGGCTCTCCCATCACATTCACTGAAAATGCCTCAAGTATCATATTCATAGGGGCAAATTCTCATGTCCTGCCAGTAACTGTAGCACCAGATAACTGGTGACACTAATTACTGTGGACTATAACCCAATGCACCTTCCAGAGCAGGCGATGGAAAACCTGCCCCTTCACGAGTTCTGGAAGACAGTTGGGTGCGAGTCGTGCAAGGCGGCTGAGCTCGCTGCCATACTGAACTTAGAGGCATTACCTCTTCTTGCTAGCAGCTCTGACTGGTTCTCTTTTTCCCCACTGTATAAAGTTCTTCCTGCCAGTGTGTTCTGCAGGCTTTTCTGCCATTTCCAGGCCTGTTTCCCTGGAGAAATCCATCTCTTCCTGTGCTAGATGCAGCTCGTGTGGAACGGTGGGCAGCCTTCTGGTGCCAGCGTGACCCTGGAAGATAAATCAGGGATGAACGTCACGGCCTGGGCCGCCTGCGCGACGCTCTCCCCCGGGCAGGTAGGAATCCTGGAGACAAGAAGGGCTGCAGGGAGCTCCCTCTCCGCCCCTCAGTCTCTAAGATTGGAAACTTCTTCCATCTCCTATCATAGGAAAAGCTTTTCCTTGACAACTCTCTTTTATCTATATTGGAGGAAGAAGAGTAAAACCTCTGAAGAATCCTGCTTCTTGTTGCTGGATAGGTTTGTATTTAGGACTCTGTGTCAAGCAAACCAAAATCATCGGCACATGAAGTTTCTCTGTAGAGACTGCAGCAGACAAGTAGAAACCTTCCAGTGGTTCTCCCAGGGGACATATTTTTGCCCAGAAACATACTCCTCTAAAAAATGTTAATACTGAACTACTTAAAAATATATATTAATATGTATGTCCTTTCTTTTCATCACCCTCTTTCAGCTTCAGACAGTACTAAATATAGGACACTTCAATGCATGTGGGTCTCTAGAGCAAACTGCAGTGTTGTTTAAAGAATATCTGGATCTGAACTGGGCTGACAAAAAATTTAAACACAATTTGACTTACGAGGTAAGAAAAGTCCATTTTACTTGGTAATTCACCATACATGTTTTTATAGAAGCTGCTCTCGATAGATATGATTTTTTAATATAATTGTGAATTGATTTCAAGAAATCTTCTGTAAAGCATCTTTTTTAATGAACTGTTGATGAAATGTTTCATCTTGCAGATGATCACCTATTATATATTCTCTTTGCATAGGAAGAAAGCTAAATGTAGAAGAATGAAGAGTAAATTATTTTTTTATGAAACAGAGGCCTTGTTTTGGCCTAAAATTGGCAAGTCTGTTGAGGTGATTCTGCAGAGTGGGGCCCAGTAACTGTTGCCAAGTGTTAGTTTAACTGTTATTTTAAATCCCGAGGCTACAGGGGACAATGTGAGAGCTGGGGAGGTGGATGAGGAGGAGTGTCTGTGGCTCTGCTGTCTTGTTTAAACTTCATTTTATTGGCATATTGCAGAGAAACAGCTTCTTATCTCCTGATAAGTTTCAGTTAGAAGCCACTTTGGAAAACATTTTCCTGACTTCGTGCACTAAACAGAATATTCTGGGTAGAATAGAAACAAACTACTCGTCCTGGCTGGACTATTATATAAACTTTGGATTCTGCGACCTTCCAACTGTAAGTGTCTCATGAACATATTGAATCTACTTCAGATTTAATTTAACTACCTGTTTTGGAGCCTAGGTTTTCCTCAGATCCAGGTTTTCACAGGAATTGCCATTCTTCTCTGGATTAAACCATAAATTAACAATGTCATGTTGCATGGTCATGTTTTCCACTTCACTGTGACGTTCTTTTCTGTAGGCCCTATTACAGTTGCAAACATTCCCACTTCCTCTGTGCTCTTTCTTTTTTATTCCTCTCTCAAAGGTCTTTTAATTTCATGTTTCTGGAGAATATCAAAACAATCTCACGGGTGATCAGAAAGGAAACTAGAGAAGAATAAAAATGCTTTCCTTCCCCTGTAGCTGAAACTTTACTTTTTTTTTTTTGCCTGCTGTGCTGATAGTCATGGATTTTTGAGCCTTAGTGTAACCCTTAGTTCTCATTTATTTTTAGATTACACACGTACACTGAAAACCCTCCTCCCGTGGGCTTCCTTCTGTGCAAATTTTGCCCTGAGAGTTTAATGTAGATATTGACAACCATAAAAGGTTGAACTGGTAACCAGCGTGGTCTCATTGCAGTTCCCAAGGGCTAAAACATATCTCAGTTGGCTGCCTCGTTTACTGTCAGAACAGCCAGGGCCCTGTTAGCAATGGAAACAGCAATCAAATTCTGATGCTAGTGACTTTCGCTCCAATATCAGGGTGTTAGTTATTGTGTTTAATAGGAAAAAAATGTATATTCATATCATTTCAAAATCAAGCGCCTCTGAATCCTGTTGTACAAGAGCATCCAAATGCTAGCTGGAGATGTTGAGAAGCACAGGAAAAATCAAACCGACTTGTCTTAATCGAATACAGTTGTAGGTGAGCTGTTCCTCTTGTCTTAGGCTGTGATCAGTGAACATGCCATGTTAAACCTCAGTGTGTGCCAACAACCTTATAAAACCTCTTGCTATTTTGTCCAGAACTTGTTTCTGTGGAAGGATTAAGCTTTAGCACCTTTTTCCATACTTAGGTAATTGCTTTCTCTGGAAAACATCAGCTCAACAAAGGAGATACTATTTTGCAATCAGAGAACAGATTTCACCTTGCTGATGGAAGAGATGGTGGGCTGATTGGAGTGTCCTTTAAAAATAAGAGCACAACTGATAGGAAGAACTATTACGTGGAGATTGAAGTGAGTTTTTCTTTTAATTTTACTAGCATCTCTTTTTCTTTTAAAGACAGACTGCCATCTAGTCTCTGAACTGATCAAATGCAGCTAGCAACTTCTAAAACAGAAGGTACAGACTGCATGGGGATTTATTTCTGATTTCTTCAGAAATTTTGTTTTTACATTGTACACAAAGTATGATCAAGAGAAAGGAAGGCACCAACATTAGTTACCTGCTGAATTCAGTGACAAATACAGCCAGTGTTTATCAGCTGCAGTCTGTGCAGTTTTTCAGCAGCTCTGTTATATGGCTCACCTTCTTCAGCAAGACTGCTGAGGCATGGAAAGGCACTGCTGCAAAAACAAGGGGAATTAAACAGGAGATTCAAAGAAAATATTGCTTACCAGAAAAAGAACTGGTCATCCAGAGAAGGGCACCAGATGTATGGAGGCAAATCTCTTATTTTGCCTTTGTTCTTAATTTCCTGTGAATCAAATAAGGTAGAGAAGCTAATTGTAGCAATGAGAGTGGGATGGAAGAGCGATGTGATCAGTGCCACCCAAATTTAATGAGCAATGTGGGTAGTTGGTCATAATTGAGACAGTAGGCTGTATGTTTTTTTTTTTTTTAATTAAACAGTTTTTCCAATATAAGTCACATAATGAATCCCCCACCCACCCCCAGCCTTACAAGGAATGCTGTTGAAAGGGGTATAAGCTGCTTTACCTGGGCTTCCTTGTCTAGGAGTGAAGGACAAATTAAGCGCTTGGGAGGGAGCTGCTCCTGGAGTGTTTCTGGCACTGCTGCTGTTAGCAGCCTGCCCGCAGGGCTGTTTCGGTGGTCCCCGGTGTGTCAGGTCACTCAGCTCTCGGCAGGCAGTGCCGTGCCAGTGCCAGCGCCAGTCCTGGCTGAAGCACAAGCACTGGAGAACATGTCCTTCACCCCCCCAGTGCTGGGGGAGGCACTGCTATTTCTGGCTTCATCTGTCTATGTGGCTTCATTCACGTGTGTGGCAGCTTCAAATAAATGTGTTTTTCCTCTATGGCTGCAGTTAAAAGCCTTTGAAGACGTTTGGCTAGGCCTGACGGGAACTGCTGCTTCTTCAGCTGCTCAGAGCCAAATCCTGATGGAGGGGATTATTGATCAGCAAGAGAAAGTAAAAGTGGCCGCTTCTAAAGGCGAGGGGTGTCTTCAGTCCTACGTGGGCTATCTGCAAGGTACGTACCTTCACTGGCGTGAGGAGGAGGAGGAAGGGCTGTGTGAGGAAGGCGCTGGGGAGCGCCCAGGTAGCTCAGTTCCACGGTGATTCAAGCTACCATTTGGGTGATGCTGCTGTGACTGCGAATGGCTGTGATGGGGGCTGTGGGTGAGTGACTAACACTTGCGTTTCTGGTCTAAACACTTTGTCAACTTCAGCACTAGGGACAGTAGAACTCGCGTAGCAAAAAGCCTGCTGGTCATGCAGCTTAGAGAATTATTTTGTCTTCTTATAAATCCACTCTTTTCTGTGCAGTAGCAAATCTGTATTTCTAAAGAATTTGCCGGGCATGCGGAGAAAATCAAATAGCAAATCTACTCTAATTTTCTCTGATTTATCTCCTCTAGTTTTTCTCTACAAACATGTAATGCTCACATACACTCACTGAATACCTATGTAATTAAAAATATGGCTTTCAGACAACGTCTGTTGATGTAGTTCCTGTAAATGAAGATCTCTTTTTCACTCTCCAAGGAGATTTGGAGGAAGGGATAGAAATCAGTGCTTGTACTTCTGTGCAACAGATGGCGGCTGTGAATGCCTATATTAACATTAATGGTGAACGGCAAGAAGAACTGGGACAGCTGACCCTAACAGCTCTTAATGAAAGTTTGAGTTTCTTGGCTCATGGATGTGGGGATTCACTTCTTAAGGCTGAGGTGAGACCCTTCAGTGGCACTTAATTGTGGTGTGACTTTTCCAAAATGTTTTTTATTTTTTACTAGTTTCATGGAGCACTCTCCAGATGGGTTTAATTTGTGATTTTTGGTGAGTGACCAGGCAGATAGGAGGAGCTGGTAATTCTTAATAACATTATCTTTGGCTTTGGTATAAAAAGATACTATAATGTGAATTAAAAAGTTCAGCCATTATCTACAAAACTGAGAAAATAATGGGACCCTCTCCTAAAGTTTTTATTCTCTAAAGAGGTTCAGGAGAGCAGTAGGGCTAGTAATTTGCCATGTTGGCTACAAAACTAAAATTAGAAGTCTGCAGTCTTCAGAGTCTTTCATCCTTGGTTTCTTTTGTTCCCATTTTTAAGTAATGAATGATGTGAAGGTCATTTTCCCCCAAGAACAGGAGGTCACCAGGGATCTTTACTGGCATTTAGGCTAGTACAGAGTATTTTAGACTCAGCATAAGCAATTTTAAATCATAAAATCCTGATTTTTGTTCATCTTTTTACAGTATAAACTTAATGAATTTGGGAGCCTTCTAAAAGCCAAACTAGTGGAAAAGATGACAAAGTTTGATGGATATATGTGGAGACTCAGAAGATCAGTAAGTAATGAACAGTCTGCTGTCCACATCTTGGGAAAGTCGTGTGGCATGAGACATGCAGCCTTGCAGCATCTGTGAAAGCACCAGAAGATGCTCACTCAGTGTCAATTAAGAATCACTCACGTTATATGCAGTTGTCTAGTTTACTCAGATATTTAAATGGTTAATCCTTCGTTCACCTGCTATTCATGTATAGACAAAAAGCACATTAAAAATGCCGTCCATCTGACCAAACCCTGAGGTGTTCAGGACTATCTTGGAATGGTGGGAACTCTGCTTTTAGAGATTGATGATATCTGCCTTCGTTCCTAATAAACCTGATAGTTCACAGTATCAGTAATGGGATTATTTTGAGGTCTACAGTAAAAACATGGCATCTTTGGAGAGCTAATCACAGGGAAAACATACTGCAAAGATCTGTTTGTGATCACTGCATATTTTGACGTTTCTTCTTTTTGGGGAACCCCTGCAGAAGCAGCAAGTTGAGTTCCTGTCTGAAGCGGCGGGCTGGCCTTGGAAAGCCTTGCAAGAAGCAGCAGGATTCCTCCACAGTGTGGGCAGCGCTGTCACCCGGGTGTGGAAGCAGAGTGGAATCAGGGAGACACTGGGAAGCAAACTCCCAGTTTACCTGGATAAAATTCAAGACATTGTCCATCAAATGCAGAATGAATTGCAAAGTAAGCAAAAGCCATCTAAACCGAGGAGAATGACTGCACAGGCAGATTGACAGGGACAATGTTGTGGAGGGGAAGGGAAACAGTATAAAAGATGCTGAACAACACAGAAGTTTCTATTTTGATGCAGCAAAAATGCTGATGTAAACTCTTAGCTCTTATTATTTATAGAGAGGGAACTTGGATGCAGTGAGCCTCTGAGTAACCTCAATGTGACAGCCCTTCTAATGAAATAATTGAGAGGAAGAATTGTCTTTCACTCAGGACTCTCAGCTCCATCAAACGTGAGCAGAGCCCTGATTCCCATGCTGAAGCATTTCTGCTAACAGTGCCCTGGCACACACTTCTTTCCAGAGGGCTGTTCAGAGCCCTCTTTAAGTTTTGAATGTTTCTGCTCATCAGACTTCGCACATGCTTAGACTGTTTCCTTGTCCACCCATCTGGCTGATCAGGTGGACTATAGTCCATGCTGAAACCATGTATGGTCAGCTATGATTAACAATTAGCTTCCATTCTCACAGCAAGAGTAGAATCATAGAATGGTTAAGGTTGGAAGGGCCCTCTAGAGGTCATCTAGTCCAACTCCCTGCACATGCAGGGTCACCTACCGCACATGGCACAGGACTGCGTCCAAGCGGGTTTGAAGATCTCCAGAGAAGGAGACTCCACAACCTCTCTTGGCAAGAGATGTCACTTTGTATCACAGATCACAACCAGATTCTTACCAAAAGTGAGATTTAGTTGTCTGACTGTGTTTGAGATTAGTTTTGCCCAGACTGTCCCGTTATTTGCTATTCTTTGGTCAGGGGCAGGCTGGGTGTGCAGCTCATTGCAAAGTGTTCCTTGGTTTATTTCAGAAAGCAGGACAGTACACACAGGAGTCAGAATGTGAATGCATCAGAGCTATAGCTAAATGCCTTTTGTTAATGGAATGTGTTTTGCCCCAGATCCATTAGCAACTTTGAAGGATGCCTACTACGATGTAACACTGAAGCCACTGGATGAGGTTTGGCAGGAGAAAACAGCAGAGTACGTGAAGAAACTCCAGGCTTTTGTGCCCCAGATTGTGAAACATGTTTGGCTGATGGAACCGATCCAGGTGGCAATACGGGTTGTGAAAACAGGCCTGGATATGGTTGGTACAAGTCATGTCTGCCTCTCTAATGGCTTAAAGGAAAAGGCCTACAGAGTGGAGTCTCAGCTGTGAACTATAGATGGACAGATAGACTATAGATAGGTCTAGCTAGAGAAATAAATAGAAACCTTTACTGAAGAAGTTCCACACTGCACGCATTGTTTTACCCTGTGTGACTTACTTAATGCTATTACCGTCCTTTTTTTTTTCCCCTGGACCATTTATGAGGATTCTTAATTCAAGGTGTTGTCTAGTTTGTGTAGCTCTGCAGGGCCAAATACCCTCGTCTGCTCTCAAGTAAAACACAAATTGGCACGAGAATACTGTATTTTTTTAAATGATAATCTTTCCCCAGAAAGGCAAATATATTGCTCTTGAAACACCTGGCCTGCTCTGACAGCAGTACTTTTCCAGCTAGAGGACATGCTTTGCTACCTCCAGCAGAAATCACACCAGCAGTGACCAGTTGTTTGCATAGTCTGTGCTTTCCTTCCCCAGGGAGGAGGGATTGTGATGCCAGTCAGCAGTGTACAACCAGGCTTGGGTCCTTGAGCTGTAATGAGGAGCTTAAATGATTTATCATGAAATTATATTGACAGAGGTTGCCATCCTTTGGAAGCTAGTGCAGTACACGAACTAGTCTGGGTGCACAGTAGTGTTGTTATTTAGGAAGGGTGTATTTCTGTGCACTGTTTGGTGGGGACTGATGTCTTGTCTCTGGGTGACAAGATGTTACCCATCAGACAACTTTCATCTGCAAGGGATGCTAAAATGTTGTTTTGCTGAATGTTTTGTTAAAACTCACTGTCAAGTATGAACCTGCTTGCAAGTCATTGTAAGGATCAGTTCTGTAATCTGCTTTTTCTCCTTTTGCAATAGGCCACGCATCCGATGCTGAGGTGGGCAGAGGCCACATTTTCTAGAGGCTTAAGCAAGATACGGAAGCCCTTATTCAACCTTTACCATTTTTCAGACAGGTAGTTTTTTTATTTCTTTTTGGAGGAACTCTGCTGCTGTGTTTTTATCTCCGTGTCAGTGTAGGTGCTGCCCTTCGCTGCTTTAGGCACAGAGCACTTGCACTGTGATGTTCATTTAGCTAAGCTAACCAGACAGCCTGTGTTTCAAAAGCAGATGTTCAGCAGCACACAGAGCAACACTAGCTGTAGTGCATGGCCTTGTAGGGCTGCTTTTTTTTTGCAGATCCTAGCCATAGTCCATCTTTATTTTGCAGTTCTAACTGACTGCAGTTCTGGTGAATATTTCACTTCCACATTTCTAATAATAAATATAGCAACATATTGTGAATCAGCTTAGCAGATAAGGGCACATGCTGTTTTGTTTGTATTCCACAGGAACTGTTCAGTGGCAGTAAGACTGCCAGTACTTCCTAAAGCAGAGCACCTTCTGGGCCTGGCAAATATTACTAACTATCTCATTGAAGAAAAGCTAATGAGACCTCTCAAAGACCTCTACAACATCAACATAGTTGCAGAGTACTATAGATTCAAACGGAGGGTGATGGAGAGCCCCTTTGAACGTAAGCCCTTTCAAAAGTGTTGTTTTGTAGCTGGGTCTACTTCCACTTAGTTCTGAATTCCACAGTGTGATGACATAACCATTTGTCTGTAAGCATCATGTCTAGTGATAATCATATGTAGATAGTCCTGCTTTGGTTAAAGCTGACTTGCTAGAAACACTCTAGTTAATAAAATGTTTGAATATTTGAATATTACAATTCCCTATGTTGAAATCAACAGGTAGAATTTATTTGTCTTACTTATCCTCTTGTAGATTAGTGTCATTGTTCCATGCCAGTCATACCTTGTAGTTCACCAGATATCTGAGTTTAGCCATGAAGTTGCTCTCCCACTTTGAAAATGATGAAATTAACTGCTGTTGACAAAGGGCAGAAAGCATAGCCCTTCAGAGACAGTATTGCCTGAAAAGCTCAGCTAATGCTGAAGTTATCTCCCGACTGCCACTTGGAGATAATGGATCTTCCAGAAAGAGACATTTTTGATGGCTTCCTTCCAGTAAGGAGACACTGACAGTACTTCTAGTGACCAAATGTTCAGACTGTATCTTCAGAGCTTGTAGATGCAATGATCTGGTTTGGCAGGGTTTTGGGGGGATGCTTAATGCTGGTCTCTGAATAGGAATGTATAGTGTATGGTTGGGGGAGTATCAACTAGTGTGACTGTAAATCAAGAGTTTTAAAAATGATTTATATTTCCCAGATTTTTAGGATATTCAGGCTGATCTAAAATGGAAAACAACTATTGGATTCTTCCTTTCCTGGAGGAATTTCTGTTGCAGAGCAAGTTGTAGCTAACTTAAAATGTACTAATGGCTTGGAAAAATATTTTAGGAATAAGAATATTACATCAAGCAGATAGTAGCCTAACACTTCCTGCTCTGTGGTCAATCAGTGATGTTTACTTTAAAATGTCTTTATCCAGATCATGCTATGTTAATAGGGAACAAGCATCTTGTGACTTTTGATGGAAAAATTTATGATTTGGCATCAAAGTGCAGTGTGCTTCTTGCCAAGGATTTTGTTCACAATACCTTCACTGTAATACTGAACCAGGAAATTAATGGCTCAAGATCACTGTATGTGGAGATGAACCAGACTGTGATTGATATCTACCCAAGACTGAAGGTAAGAGGTGACGGTCAAAAATTCTTCTTTTCCAGAGCAGAAATTAGTTTTGCCCAAAAAGCAAGGGAGAAAAAAGAAAAAAAAAAAAAAAAAGGCATTTTTTTTCAAGATGTGAATATTCCAAGTGCTAGAAAGTAAGCAGTTTTTAATAAGGCCTAGTACCACATCATGAAATAACTCCTGAAAACGAAAAGTCCTAACCCAAGGGCTGCTGCTTTTCTCTCCACTTCTCAAAACAAGTGAAGCTCTATGAACCTTTTATCTTTCCTCTTAAATGGCCAAGAAAATGGCAGGAGCAAAAATATGGTGAATAAGCTGGACCCATAGTCGCATTTCATCTGGGAGGCTTTGTGCTTCCCTGCTCTCTCTGGAGTATCCCACAGCCCAGTCTCATTCCCTAACTTGGAAATGGGCAAAAATGACACCAGCCAATCTGCTAGATCATAACCAAAAGCAGTAACTCCCACTGTGGCATACTTGAAATATTTGAAACTGTATTTTCATTTAAAACAGATGTCCAAGATATATAACATCTCCATTACGGAACGGAACTGCCAAGGAATGGATCAGTCCCTTGAAAAT